AAACTGGCCATAATATCTCTATCTATAAATGAGGTGTGGTTGCTATCTGAAGACAGGAGCTCCTGGCAAGAGTGCTTTTCTCTCTTTAGTGCTTTGTGATGGGAGAAAATGCTTCAATACTTGTAATGAAGACCTTAGTATTTTTAAATGTCTTCAGAGCCTAAATTTAGAGACTTGCATATTTAATGTCTGGAAAATGACACGAGGATGTTGCAACAATAAGAGTTTATGTCAACTAAATAGTTTCTAGTATTAAACAGAAACTGTTTGCCAAATTTTCTCCATAGTCCAGACTGGAATAGCTAAACAACTATAATATGGCTTGCCATTCAAGTTTGAAAAAAACAAGCATGGTCTCCAGTGGATGAATCCTGACATTGGTGATTCCCTGACTTTTCTTCTAGTTCCACCATAAGGTTGATATTTTGGGGTTTTAGTCTTGTCTTGATTACAACTGGATTGAAATTTTACACAGAAATTTCCACTTGTCCAATACTGACAAAATACTTGCAAAACTGATGACATATCATCAGGTTTAGTGTTAGTTAGCAAATGTTAGCATGCTAACATGCAAAACTAAGATGTTGAACATGGTAAACATTATAGGCTATTTGCTTAACAGCTGCATGTTAGCACTGATGTATTGAGCATGTTAGATAACTGATGTTAGCATTTAGCTTTTAGCATTTAGCAAAAAGTACCCACACCTTAAAGACTACAGCCAACGGCCAACTAGCACATACGTTCTGCGTAATAGGAAATAACTCTCCATACCAGCAGGTAGTGGTAGTCTGAATTTGTCATTCAAAAATATAAGTTATAAACTACAAACTGTTATTATGATAGATAAACAAAGCAGCGTTTGCCTACCACTCCCGCTCACCCTTCAGTTTGATTCTAGATGGCCATGTTGTGAAAATATTTGTGTATTGGAGTGATCGAGATGAAGCTCCTCCGCTGATTCATCATGCTGAATTGGCCCCAAAAAAACACTGAATAAGGGCAGACTAGTGCCAACGGTGTGGGACACACTGCAAAAACTAGACACACTGCAACAACACATGGCCCGTTGTGTCGGACCCTTAAGGAGTGAGCCACTAACATGGCTGTAGACTTGTTTCCACCTAGAATTGAGCTCTAACGTGTGTCTGCGTTATCAAACCCTTGTTGCAGCAGTGACCCCTGTCTAAGTACAGAAGAACTTGATGAAATGACTCATAACACAACAGTGACTATCAGCCTTCAGCAGGTCAGTAGCCCACCAGTAGAGCCATGAAGCACTTTCAGCAGAAATGTAAGCTATCTTTTGCAAACCTTTGACAGTGAGGCTGCTAGGAGGAGCGACCTTCAGGCCTTCGTCAATTTTTCTCTTTATCTTTAGTCAGACTGGCGGCTGCAGGCTGCGCTTCATCATCTAGCTGGTGTTCCAGTTTTGATACAAAGCAGAGACTCTGAAAGTGAGCCAGACTTAAATATTATATTCACACACATAAATGCACACATTCACATGAACAGTTATGGGGATCTTTAACACACTGCCACTGATTTGTGAAGCAGCATCCGTCACACTAACCCCATTTTGCTTCATTTCCATCTCACTGTGTATTGTAGATTTAAAAGAAAGACTTGAGTACCTTTACTACTGAAATCCTCTACATCTGGTATTTCTCACCAAGTGAATGGTGGACGGGGTTCGGGCAAATGTTTTTAAAGCAAATGTTTATAATTCCTGCCACAGCATATTATAACCTCGCCAAGCAACAGTGGGGAAGTACCTTAATTGTATAATTTATGATGAAACAGGGTACATTTTGGGTGTTGTGGTTTTACAACACATAGTATATTTGTTGCTGTTGTAAATGTGTTCGATTTTTACTGTTTTCCATGAAAGAAATCACATTTTAGCGCAGTTTATTGTTTTTTGTATTAATTCCTTATTCTTATGGAACTTTTTGCAAGATTTGCTTCATTTCAACTTATCAGGATTAAAGTAACATATATTCCTGGGATAAACAATAATGTCGTAAATCTAAAGTGTTATTTTATATTTAATAATAACCTGTTCAAGCAGGTGCTAAAATAGATCTATTCCATATTTTAAAGTTGAAGCATCTCATCACCTTTTGATGGCTTTATGCTATTAATTAATCACTTTGAAAGAATGTGTCAGTTTTTCAAACAGTGGACTTCACATCAGTTATTTAACTTTGGAATGAACCTCGTTGGCTGAATACCGCAAATCTGTAAGGCACCACCTGGGTCTGAAGTATCAATATGTGCAAGCTTCTGTCATCATCTTATCAAATACTAGTGCTAGCTGTCGATGCCCCACTCCCCAACTCTTGAGCTGTCAGTCACAACCGGTGGAGACTGATCAGCTGACTGAATATCTGCCAGAAAGATGCATGCTTTGACTTCAGAGGTTGGCTGTCAACACAGTCCAACAGAAACAAACAAGCTCCACCTGCCATGCTCCACGGCTAGAGGACCAAAGATCAGAGGCATTGGGGAGAATTTTCACATCATCTGTCAAGTGTTCTCACTCCAGCACCCTGATTGGAGGCCAAAGAACACGGTGCTCTCTGTTTTGAACATTTTCCCTGTTGTATTGGTCTATAAAATCTAGTGCTGAACAGAAGTGTGTGTTGTGATACAAATAAATATGCCATTCATTGTAACGCATAATGCTTTAATGTATTTTTTCATTCCTGTAAAAGAATAGAGAAGACAACTGCTGATGCATAAAGCTGCTTGAGTGGTACAGAAGTGATATTTTTCGGAACATTTAATATTGTTTTCTACTTTCTGGCAAGCTAATTGGTTAGTTTTTTGTTTTTTACTAAGGCACCACATGTACCCTGTTATGATTTTTATTGGTATACAATTGCTTGTCAGCCTTGTTTAAGTATTGTGTTTTTCCTACAGCTGAGGGCATCAACAATGAATTGTGGTCACTCTGTAATAGATGGTGTGGATTGTCTATCCAAAATGCACAAGCGCTGAATACAGACGTGACGTGAGGACAAACAAAATATACCCTACATTCATTTTGATGACAGAGCGACTGAGACTAACTGTGTTCAGTGCTTCTTCTCATTGAAGAAATGGTGGCTTATTTATGACTTGAAATAAAATTTCCTTATGGAATCCAAAAAATCGATTGATTCAAATTGATTCAACCAATGCTAAAAGTCTTAAACAAACTCTCGTGACAATGTGTTGGATTAGAAGGTATGCTGATTTATTTATTTTTTAAAGGAATTCAACTGGGTACATCAGGTGCAAAGAGGTCATTTGAACCTTTTAAGACAACGCTCTTCACAGAAGGATACCACTTGAGTGCTGTGAATGTCTTGCCAAACCAGAAGGTTGTGTTTAGGCATAAGAATTATTACATTACATACAAGGGTAAAGATGAGAAGAATTTGGAAGAGTGCACAATCTCTGTCTATGACTACAACCGTCACAGTTTGGGTTTAAATGAAGTTGGCTTGTAATAAAAGTGATTTGACATTTGTTTCTCCTCTGACTGCATAAATATAATTTGTTGGATGGAAGTTTCTATTGTAAATGTGGATTTTAAAATGGAGGATGAATGTTTAGATTGAATCCAAACATCTTTTTTTCTTGTTTTTTCCCGCTCTGATTCCAGCTTAAAGATGGAAATAAAAATCGACTTTGTGAATATAAAAATAAATAATTTATTGCACTGGATTGCTGATGAAGTCAGTTCCAATTTCCTCTGTATGAAAATGAACAGAGAACATTCCTTGGCCTCCCTGCTGTATAAACTGAATGCTGGATGGCGCCTCTCCAGACCTGAGTCTCTACGAACTTGCCGGCTTTGGCTCTGGGCCATACTTGTGTAACATATCGTACACACTGTGAAGGCAGCGTCATCACTACCAGACAAGCTTGGTCTTTCGTATATCTCGGTGTCAAATAGGCCTGCTGACGGCCTGCATCAGTTCTGCGTTAATGAAAATCATATTGTCCTGGGAGTATTTTTTTCTTTTCCAGATTGCCTCCCAGCCAGGGTAACTCTTAAATCATAATAAATAAAAAGCAACACAATTAAACTATCTGCCCCTGTTTAATATTGGCAATATGTATTTGTATCTTTTGTATCCTTTGATTTGACTATTTTTGCATTTCATGAGCAAGGCCATAGGCTACACTGAGGATGCTAATGTCATATCCTTGGTGCTTTAGAAACAACAAAAAATAAAAGATTCAGAATTCCTCCACCAGAATTGTATTATTTGATATTATTTGCATTTACATCTTCATGTTGGGGAAAAAAACTGCAGAAAACTACTGGAATAGCTAACTGAATGAAACAAATGTGAAACATGTTTTGTAGGTGAACTGGGGAAACTTGGACTTATGGTATCAATATTTAAAAAAATCCCTGCCACTTCCCTCATCATTAATTATTTTTCTTCGAACATTTGAGCCAAAACACATTTATTCAACCACCTTGCCTCGTTCATCACGCAAAACACATTTTTCTTTCAAGTCGTATATGCCTCCTGTGGCCCTCATGATTCACGCCAAACTGCAGAGAGCAGCCTTTTGAATAATGAATGTCTAAAGTCAGCATGGGAGGCCATAGATATTCAGCAGGGCATGTTGGCATCAACACCCTAATAGAAACTATATTGCACCCTCTTCTGGAATAAAAGGAGCATAGCAATGCATTTTCTAACAACGTGAAGAGTAGTATAGCTCTCGATTCTGTGATTCTGTCATTGTCCCCAACATAGAAGACTAATTAATACAATATTTAACTTTACTTTTACACATCAGGAAGAAATTTACATAATTTATAGTTAATTTCAGAATACATACTCATATTGCTTAAAGTTTAGATGAAAACATTTCACATAACCTACTATTAAGAATTTTTCACAAGGTATTTTATACATTAGGTATGTCCAGCACATTCTGTACAGTTTCAGGGGCTCTCTGATTCGTTCTCGTCGCCGTCGCGCCTTTGATGACGTCCTTCCTGCTTCACCGTAACAGCACGTGTACGGTGTACAATTTAGAGCAGACGGGAATAACAGCATCTGAACCTCCGCTTTCAGACACCGTCGTGTGGGCTCCTTATTTTTTTCTTCGGGGAAAGCTCTGCCGACTAAGCCGTCAAAATGGTGAAGCCTCTGTTCAAAGGGAAAAGCTCGATAAACAAATCGACGTCCAGCAGCAACCCTGGTGAGCTAAACCCCCATTAGCAACACCGTTTGTTTACAGCTAATGCTAAATGTTGTTAGCCAGTTCATAATATGTTCTTGAAAAGAAATTTATAAATTACCTTTGTGAGATTAAACTAGTCAATGACAATATGTGTGCAAGTTTTTCCCAAATGAAACACACTATTCAGGTGACGTTAACTCCATCTTACTTGAGCTACTTCTGTAATAAGTTAGCGTTAGGACATTTCAATTTGACGCTAAAGTATTAAATATTTAGGGAAGGGCTTGTGTCAAGTTGAAGTGTCAGCTGCTGTTATTAATTTGTCATAGGATGTCTTCTGAAGCAGCGCTGATGTTTCTTGAAAAGTGTGTTGAGCAATCGGATTGTTACATAAACTGTCCATATATTTTACAGATCGAGCCAAGGGTGCTGGAGGGACCAACATGAGGGACCGATCCACCATCAAACGTCTGAATATGTACAGACAAAAGCAGAGATGGTAATTGATGATTCAGATTTTCATTATTCTCATGGGCTGCTGGTTTTATAAGGGGCAGAGAAATATACCAACAAGTGCTTTATTCACACTGACACTGATGTTCTGCTCCCAGTAATGACCGTGGGAAAGT